TATATATATATATATATATATATATATATATACATTGTTGTCTTGTATGCCTTTTTCATTTAATAGGCTAGCATAAATGTAAACTAATGTTACATTATTTACTGCCTTAAACAATAAATGCTAAATCTTTTTAACTCTATTTGTGGGTTTTAGTTTGTGCGTTGATGATTGTGGTTATGTTGCTTTTTCTGTTATCTCCTAATGAGGCTACAGATCAAAAGTTCAGTTTAATGGTTTTAAGGTTAAAGGTATTAGAGGTTGAGTTAAGTTTTCAGTTGTGCTGCACTTTTTGGTGCAATAAAACTCAGTGTCTTTTATGTATCGCTTTGGTATGCATGTTTGACATTTCAAAAAATGGTATCGCTTTGGTATGCATGTTTGACATTTCATATGGAATATGGAATGGTACCAGTGTGAAAATTCAAATTGCAACCTTGCAATTTGAATTTTCACACTGGTACCATTCCATATTTTGACTTGCTGAAGCTTTGCCTAAAACCTTTCAGCACTTTTTACATGTAAAGTGGTTTGCAACTAATATTTTTTTTGGCGAAATCCCATTTTACTCTATTCTTCTTAATGTTTTTATTTCGTAATTATTATCTTTTCTAAAGTATAACTTTATTTAATTTTTATTAAATACTTGTAACTTATCTTTGTTTGTAAATTCATCGTAACTTGTACTAACTTGATTTACTTTGAATAACTTTAGGAAGTTGTATTTCTGCACTTTTTAATTGTGATGGTGAAAGTGATTGCTCTGATGGTTCTGATGAAAAAAACTGTAACAGAACATGCCTTCCGAATGAGTTTAGATGTCTGACTACTTCAAGATGCATCCCTATACATTATCAGTGTGATGGTGACAATGACTGTGGAGATAACTCAGATGAATCTGATAGAAATGGTTGCAATAAACATACTTGCAAGAAAGGAGAGTTCCAGTAATTTTTTTTTGTTTTTGTTTTTTACCATATTAAGTTTGTGAATGTATAATATGAATACTATAATGATACTATAATACAAATAATAATAGGTATATAATATTTGGTTATATAAATATGAATATATGGTTAGTTTTATTTAAGATATGATTGACCGTATATGGCATATAAATTTACTTTTAATTTTTGTGTTACTAGTTTTTTATAGTAAAAATTTTCAGTATTTTGTTAGTTTTGGTTAATTTAATTTGGTTAAGTTAATTTTAAGCTAGTTCAAGATAAAGTTAAGGTTTAGTTAAATTTATAAGTTTAACTTAATTGAGGACCTCTTTTGAAATGTGAAAAGATTTTTTATAAAAAGATTTTGTTTTTGAAATTTTTAAGATTTTGTTAATTTATATTTTTTAAAATTATTTATCATAAAGGTGTTCAGATGGAATGTGCATACGAGAAGATTGGCGTTGTGATCATGAGACAGATTGTGCTGATGCTTCTGATGAACTTGGATGTAATTGCAATATTCAAACATCTTTTAAGTGTTTATCAGGGGAATGTTTATCCAAAATTGTTAAATGTGATGGCACAAAAAATTGTAAAGATGGCTCTGATGAAAGTGAGAGTATTTGTCCATGCAATGGAGGAAAGTTTATGTGTAGAAGCAATAGCAGTGAATGTATTTTAGAGTCTCAAGTTTGTAACAAACAAAAAGATTGTTCCGATGGCTCTGATGAAAAGTCTTGTTTCATTAATGAATGCGCTCATGCTTCATTAAATCTGTGTGCTCATATTTGCAAAGATCTCCCGCAGGGCTATGAGTGCTTATGTAAAAATGGTTATAAATTAGAAAGTGATAAGATGTCATGTGTTTCTAATTGTGATGATTATGCAAACCACGGTTGTTCCCAATTGTGTCAAACTCTAAACAATAGTATAAATGGAGAACACCACTGCAGTTGTGCGCCTGGTTATTCTTTAGATATTAATTTACGATCTTGTAAACATAACTCAGATGTAAAACCATTCTTACTAATTGCAAGTAAGCAGTCTATAAATTTTTTGTCTATTTCTCAAAATCCACTTACATATGATATTTTAAAGAGAGCTAGAAGGGATGCTATATCTGCTGACTTTGATTGGAAGACTCAATCTTTTTTTTGGATTGATTTAAACCCTGGTGAAATTCAAAGGTCTGGTTTTAGCAAAAACTCTGAGGTAAAATCAGTGTTGAAAGATATATCTCCTAATCCTTTTGATATATCTTTTGAATGGATTGGTAAGAACTTATATTTTACTGACTGGGCACATGATAGTATTTATGTTACAAACATGCATGGTCAGTATAAGAAAAAATTATTTAAGGACCGTGTAAATCAACCATTATATTTAGTTTGTCATCCAAAGTCAGGATATTTGTTTTATACTTCTAAAACATCAGGAATAAATTACTATGGTTCAATTTCTCGAGTTGGTTTAGATGGTTCAAAAAAAGAAGTGCTTTTTTCCAAAGATATTAAATACCCCCAAGGTTTGACCATTGATCATGTTACACAAACTCTGTATTGGAGTGATTCAGTTCTTAAACGAATTGAATATGTACATTTAAGTGACCCCAAACTGACTCGTAAAATACTTGTTAAAATTGCAGGAGATGTTTTTAGTCTCTCATTGTTCGAAGATTATTTGTATTATTCATCTCAAGATCCTTTTACTTTAAATAGAGTTCATCGGTGGACGGGTCAAAATTCAACTGTGATTAAGAAAAGTAAAGACAAGTTTTACAGTGTTAAGGTTTTAAATCTTTTTTTTTTATTATTATTCTCATATTTCCATTATATTTCAATTAGTTAAACATTTAATCCTATTAGGAGACAAAATTAGTTTAGTATAAACATGCGTGTGTGTAAGTAAGTATGTATATATGTATATATATATATATATATATATATATATATATATATATATATATATATATATATATATATATATATATATATATATATATATATATATATATATATATATATATATATATATATATATATATATATATATATATATATATATATATATATATATATATATATATATATAGACACACACACATAGCCCATAATATATGTATATTTTGGGCTTTGACTAGTTTTTTATATATCAGTTATGATGCAGTATTGCTGCCATGTATGCAGTTTCGGTTTCACATACTTTGAGTTTTAGTGTATAATTGTTTATTATATTTATGGTAAAATACTGTTATAAATAAAAATTACTTTAAGGTAGTACATCCATTGCAGCAACCTGTTATTGATAATCCATGCAAAGATGCTGGTTGTTCTATCTTTTGTTTACTCTCTCCTGGGACTGGATACCAATGTGATTGCCCTGATAACTTTCATATAAGTAGCGATGGTAAAACATGTCTATCTAACTGCACCACTGGTCAGTTTAAATGTAATAATAACAGGTGTATTTCAAATGCTTGGCGTTGTGATTCAGAAAATGACTGCGGAGACAATTCAGATGAAATGAAATGTGATGCAGTTAATTGTGGTTCAAGTAAGTGCTTTTAAATTAAATTAAAAAAATATAAATTAAACACTAAATAGTAAGTTTAACAAAATATCAACCTCATTCATTTTATTCATTTATTTTACTAGATATGTTTTTTTGCAATAATGGCAATTGCACTCGTCAGTTTTATATATGTGATGGTGACAACGATTGTGGTGACAATAGTGATGAGTTGAACTGTAAAGATAGACAATGTTATAGGTGATAATTTGCTCTGTTCATTTTAGTTTAAAATCTTTTGTAAATTACACAATGAGCCTCAATATTAAGTTAGTAGATTGAATTATTATATTAAATTCTTATTTAAAATCTCCACTTGCAAAGTTTTAAAGAAAAAAAGTTCTCCACTTTGTAAAGTTTTAAAGAAAAAAAATAATTCTAAAAATTCTGGTAAAACTTTTATTGATTCATTTTAACTTCATATTAATAACAATAGTTAGAGGAATGTTTATTAATGTTTGTATTTATTCCTCAAGTTTTTTCAAAAAAAAATTTAATTTTAAGTAATATGAAAATTTAAATAGCATGAAAAGTTATATATCTAATACAATTCCAAAGAGGAGTAAAAAAAGAAAAAGAAAAAAAATAGTAATAAGTTAAAATTATATATAAAACATAAATGAGTGTAAAATAGATTATAAAAATAAAATAAAACATTTGTTTTTTAAAAATAATGTTTTATTTTTATATTTATAAAACTAAAGAGAACTTTTTGACTGATGCTCCATTGAACAAATAAAACCTCCCAAAAAAGTTCTGGTTTTATTTCCTATTTTTAATTGTAGCTATCAGTTTCGATGTGCCAATGATCTTTGTATTTTACAAAGCAAACGTTGTGATGGAAAAAATGATTGTGGAGACCAATCAGATGAAGAAAAATGCACTAATGTGACAAGTTTATGTTCTCTTGAAAGTAAGAAAAATCAGTTAATTTTGTTAGTATTTTTATTTTTATTACATTATAACTTTGAATAAGGGTTTGTGTGATAAGGCATTTTTTTTATGTGTTTAAGAGGCAAAATTATTTATCATTAGTTTTAACAGAATTATTAATGGTTATTTTTTTCATATAAAGTATAGTTTTCCTATTTTATATAAGTATATTTTTCACATAAACTATACAAAAAATACACAAACAATATTTTTTTCATATTTAATTGTAGCAAGCTTCCAATGCAAAAATGGGCAATGTATAGCTAAACAATGGAAATGTGATGGTGATTATGATTGCACTGACAGAAGTGATGAACAATTAGAAGAATGCAGTTTTAAACAATGTCCAAAAGGATTTTTCAAATGCAATAATCAAAGGTAGCACATAAATATATAAAAAATATATATATATAAAATATATATATATAATTAAATTTTAACATGTATAAATAAAACATATAAGAAATAACAATTATTAAAAGTGTTTAAGTATAAATAAATTTTTATAGATTAAAGAAAAGTAAATTTTCAGTTGAGATAAAAAGTAATTTATTTTTTGTCCAATATATTTTGCCAATTTAAAAAATATTTTTTATGTGCTGCATTAAATCTATATTTTTTATGTGGTGCATTAAATCTATATTATTTATGTGCTGCATTAAATCTATATTTTTTATGTGCTGCATTAAATCTATATTTTTTATGTGGTGCATTAAATCTATATTTTTTATGTGCTGCATTAAATCTATATTTTTTATGTGGTGCATTAAATCTATATTTTTTATGTGGTGCATTAAATCTATATTTTTTATGTGCTGCATTAAATCTATATTTTTTATGTGGTGCATTAAATCTATATTTTTTATGTGGTGCATTAAATCTATATTATTTATGTGGTGCATTAAATCTATATTTTTTATGTGGTGCATTAAATCTATATTTTTTATGTGCTGCATTAAATCTATATTTTTTATGTGGTGCATTAAATCTATATTTTTTATGTGGTGCATTAAATCTATATTTTTTATGTGCTGCATTAAATCTATATTTTTTATGTGGTGCATTAAATCTATATTTTTTATGTGCTGCATTAAATCTATATTTTTTATGTGGTGCATTAAATCTATATTTTTTATGTGCTGCATTAAATCTATATTTTTTATGTGGTGCATTAAATCTATATTTTTTATGTGCTGCATTAAATCTATATTTTCTATGTGCTGCATTAAATCTATATTTTCTATGTGCTGCATTAAATCTATATTTTTTATGTGCTGCATTAAATCTATATTTTTTATGTGCTGCATTAAATTTTTTAGACAAAAAAAAAATAGAAGTAGTATAATAAAAAAAACTTTTTGTTGTTGTTGTTGTTGTTGTTGTTGTTGTTATTGTTGTTGTTGTTGTTTTAATAATTGCCTTTTACAATTAATTTAATGGTTTTGGTTTTAATATGTTGGATGAATGTCAAAGTAATTAAAAGTAATTTGTGGTCAAAAGAATAATTTTTTAACTTCTGTGTCCTCAAAGCCAATAAACTATATGAGTATTTGTATGTATGTGTATATATATACACATACATACAAATGTATGTGTATGTATGTATAATGTATGTATAATGTATACATACATATACACACACACACACACACACACACACACACGCACGCACGCACACACACACATTGGAACCATTCAAATAATCAATAAAAATCATAAAGAAAAAAAAAAAGTAAAAAAAGAAAAAGAGAAGTAAAAATTATCTATTAAAAAAGAAAAAGAAGAATTTGATTAAATATAGTTTATATTTAACTTGATTTTGTTGTATAATATTACTTACTATTCTATTGTTTTATTAATATAAATATTATTTTATATTAATTTGTTAATACTTCCATAATTTATAGCAAATATTTTTATTATTAATAATAGTATTATTGTTGCTATTATAATTACTATTTATAATATTGTATCATTATTATTTTTATTGTTATTTTCATTATTATTTTTCTAATCTTTTCTTTTAAAACTTAATAACTTCAAGCTTTCTTCTAAATTTTGCAACTTTTTCTCTTTTATCTTTCTCATTAGTTTTACTAATGACCTCTAATTTTAGGGGAGTATGCACTGCATGTACAAAAAAAATTAGTGTAAGTTGCTGTGCAACTCTTCTCTTTAAATAAAATTATTATAACTGATAACTTGCCTTCATCAACTAAACTTTTTCCAGCATCAGGATTGAATAAAATCTATACTCAATTTTAATAAATTTATTACATCACATGCTTCAGTCTCTGATGTGGAAAACTGTTAATCTTTTGATGTAGATTGTCAATATTATGACATTAATAAATTTTGTTCTTATAACTTTGACATCACAAACTCTATGTCCTTTTTGCATTTAACATATTCTCTTTACAAAAACACTTTGAAGATCTAAACATATTGTTATCATTGATTAGTTTTGAATTCAGTATTATTAGAATTACAGAAACAAGAGTTTTTCCTTCTCCAAAAAATATCTTCTGAAAATAAATCTTTCTACATGGTGAGTTTAACATTTTAACTCTGACTTTCCAACTTCTCAGTTTTTAAACTTACTTCTTATAATATTCGCCCACTTTTTTATGCTGCCGATGAGAGTTACTGGCCATTCTGCTACAATCATTGACAATATCTTTTCAAATGTAACCACTAATAAAATTATTTTTTAATTAATCAGGAAATCTAAGCACTTCTATTTCTGATCACCTACCTCAACTTCTTATTTGTCCTAATTTCAACAAATTATTTATACCACATAATCATAATTTATACCGCAGGAACTTTAAAAATTATAATAAAGAGTCATTTAAATCTAAATTATTAAAAGTTGGTTGAAATGACATTACCAGTAAAAACAATGTTAACACTAGTTTTCAAGCATTATTTTCTCAAACAACATTGTTGTTAGATTATCATGTGCCACTCAAAAAAATTAGTATTAAGAGCTACAAATGTCAATTCAAGTGATGGATTACTAAAGGAATAATAAAATCAATTCAAATTCGAAATCATATTCAAGGTAAAATGTTAAGGATAAAAGATCCAACAAACATAATTAAACTAGAAACTTTAAAAATCTTTAAACGCTATAAATATACCATAATTAATCTAATAAAAGTGAGTAAAAAAATCAATTTCAAAAATTCTTTTTAGAAAATATAAAAAATCTTCATGAAACCTAGAAAGGCATAAAAAGTCTAATAAATGTCAAAAACATCAATAATGTACCTTCATATTGCTTACAAGTTAACGAAACATACATAACTGAACCAACTCGAATCTGCCAAAAATTCAACAACTTTTGCACAAATGTAGCTCATAAACTTAATTCTAAAATTCACTCATCTTACATTAGCTATAAAGAGTATCTTAAACTATATATCTTCATAATTTACTGATATCAACCAACCATTCTAAAACCTCATCACTTATATCTAAATTAAAACCTAGAAAATCAATAGGTCCTGACAGCATCCCCACAAACATTCTTATTGATTTTAATTCTGAATTTTCTCATTCTCTCCAAGTTATTTAATATCTCCTTCTTAAATGGAATTTTTCCTGACATTTTGAAATTATCATGTGTCATTCCCAGTATATAAAAATGGCTAAAAACTCTCATGTACTAACTATTGACCAATATCAATTCTATCTAACATTAGCAAGCTCTTTGAAAAACTAATTTATTCTAGATTATACTTATTTTTTAGTTCTTTTTACTATTTAAGTAATAGTTTTCAGTTTGGATTTCAATCAAAACACTCTACTTGTTTTAATAAAACAGAGACTGGCTATTGATCATTTTGTTGGTGGTGTTTTTATCAACTTACAAAAAGCCTTTGATACTGTTAATTATACCATTTTAATTTCTAAACTTGAACGTTACGGAATCTGAAGAGTTGCTTATAATTGGTTTCAATCTTATCTTTCAAATCAAATGCAGTTTGTTAGCATATATGGGTAAAAGTCAAATAACAAAAACATGGTTTGTGGTGTTCCCCAGGGTTCTGTTCTTGGCCCTTTTTTGTTTTTGATTTATATTAATGATCTAAATAACCCTGTTTGCTTCTCATCAGTCCATTTATTTGCTGATGATACTTATATCTTGCATATTAATGTCTCATCATTCCTTGTGTAAGAATATAAACTTAGATTTAAAAGGTTTAGTTCATTGGCTAAAAGCAAACTTAATTTCTCTGAACTTGGAAAAAACTGAACAAATATTTTTTTTATCTTCAAGGCAAAAAATTTTATACAACAACCATATAATTAAAATTAAAATGAATAATAAACATTTATATCCAACACACGTAGTTAAATATCTTTGTATTTTTATAGATTCCAACCTCTCATGGAACTCTGTTAAAAATTTAATCAGGCTAATGGCAAGTTTTCGATAATTCGCCGTTATGTTGATAAAACTACCCTTAAGTATCTGTATTTTGCAACTTTTTAGTCTCATCTCAACTACTGTTGTCAATTTTGGGGACAAATTGGCAACTGTAATAACAATAAATTGTTATCAGCTCAGCGCCAATCAATCCAAATAATTAATTTTCAACTCCATAATACAGAAATATCAAACTTCTTTAAAAAAACTTAAAATTTCTACATTGTTAGCACAAGTTAGATGTGCTAATCTTCTTTTTGTTTTTAGCTTCCTTAGTAAAAATTTACCCTCTAATACAACCTTCTTTACTGAAACTTGGTTTATACATTCTCATTTAACTATGAACATCAATAATGGAAAACTAAATGTACCTCCCTATAAAACTTTGAGGTATGGTGAGTATTTAATTACACATCAGTGCATCAGTGAATGGAATCGAAGTCTTGTGTGCATTGTGAATAAGTTTGAAAAATTTAAACTTAAAAATAGTTTATATTCATTTCTTTATTTAAAGCAAAATAAATTTAAACAAATTTTTAAAAAATATTTATTTTAATTTATTATCATTATAACTTCCTTTAGTTTTCTTCTTTTTATTTATTTATGTTTTCTTACTATTTCTATAATAACTTTATTGATTTTTTGTCATTATTATTTATTACTTTCATTACTGCTGTTTTTATTATTACTATTATTGTTTCATTATTTATAAATTTTATTATTTTTGCTCTATTAATGAATAAAGTTATTTGTATTATTATTTTTTAAGTTAATATTATAAATGTAATTATTATGTGTCACTCCTTTAATCAGGTTTCTCCATGAGATTCTTAATAATGATATTTTGGTTTTATTATTTATTATACTTTAGATATTCTTATTCTTCTTATTTTTTATTATTATTGTTATTATTATTGTTATTATTATTATTATTATTATTATTATTATTATTATTATTATTATTATTATTATTAATATATTATTGTTATTTTATGATTGTAAATTTTGAATAAAATAATTATTTTGCTGTTGTTGCTGTTGTTTATATTCATTTATCTCCTCAAGGCTGAGATAGATCTCAACAGAAGGTTTTTGTCTAATGTTATTAAGTTATCTTTATTTTCATTTTACCTAGGTATTTTATTTTTCATTTGTATATTTTTTTGTATTGGTACTAGATGTATATTGAATCGCTACAAATGTGATGGAGATAATGACTGTAAAGACAATAGTGATGAGGAATCACCTGAATGTAATAGTGAAAAATGCAACCCAAGTAATCATTTTCTTTGCGAAAATAAAAAATGCATCTCAAAGTTGTGGCGTTGTGATGGTGAGAGGGATTGCAATGATGGCTCAGATGAAGCAAACTGCTCTAAAATGGCATGCCCAAATAACAGATTTTTGTCAGTTTTTTTTTTTTTTTTTTTTTTTTTTTGTTTGTTTGTTGGTTGGTTCGCTTCCTTTTTGTGGGCTGTTAGTATAAATTTTTTTTTTTAATTTGATAATCTTTTTATCTTTAAGATGTAACAACCAAAATTGTGTTGCAAAGGACTTTGTGTGTGATCATGATAATGATTGTGGCGACAGTTCTGATGAAAAAAATTGCAGCAATATGTGTTCAAAAAATCAGTTCAAATGTGGTGATGGAAAATGTATTGAAAGTTCATGGCGTTGTGATAATGTAGCTGATTGTCTTGATAAATCTGATGAAATTAGTAAGCTTTTCTTTTTACATAAAATTTTTTTCCATTGCTTAATATAAATAACAACCTTTTTTTAATCACATAATTTTAATATATTTGATACAAGTCTCTTTTTACTGTATAATTTAAAAAAGTTTATGTTGAGTTTTTTAAAATTAAAAGATTAAACTTATTTTGGAAGATGGAAGTTTTTATTGAAGTTGTTTAATGATTTTATTGAGGCTGATTTGAATGATTTTTAAAAATATTAAATGACTCTTGTAGATTAAACATCTCCTGCTCTAAAATATGTTGTTGATTATTTAAGAAGAATGTTTTATTGTGTTGATATTTAAGAAGAATGTTTTGGACATATTTGTGTGTGTGTGTGTGTGTGTGTGTGTGTGTGTGTGTGTGTGTGTGTGTGTGTGTGTGTGTGTGTGTGTGTGTGTGATATTTAAGAAGAATGTTTTGGACATATCAGATATAAAGATGGTTGTATCTTTTAGTGATTAGAGGTATAAGAAACAAGTAAAGGTAACATATAAATACTAAAGTTAAAAAAAAAGTTATACTAGATTGTAAATAGAAGAACACATACAAATGTAGAAGTGACAATGGAAAGTGTACATCTAATTGGAGCACACTTTAATTTCAATAATGAAAAATACAAGAAAAAAAGAGAAAAACTTAAAAATGGTTTAAATCATATTCAACAGATTTTTGAATTTTGAATTCTCAACAAATTTAAAATGATATAGTGCTAATTAGTTTTACTTTTCTACCATTACCATGGTTACTAACATCTTTGATCTAATATTTCTTAATTAATGATTATACCATTACACTGGTTAATGGCAGAATTCTCATTGTATTACAAAGTAACAGTCTTCTCTGTTTGAAATTTACCGCCAATGCACGAAAAAGCGCTGGCTGGACAGTAATTATTTGTTTGGCATTTTAAAAAATATTTGTTTTTTGTACCTCTTTTATTAGAATTTGGTTAAGAAAAAAGATTTGTTGCATTTTAAAAACACACTTGAAATTTTTTGGCGTGCGCTTAAAAAAGCGCCAGCTGTAGTATTAATGGGTGTGTGGCCAAGCAAAAACTGCAAGAGCGCAAAAGCGCTTGTCAAACAGAGAAGACTGAAGTAATACTTGTGTTTTAAATCATTTTTTAGTAATCAACATTTTTTAGTCTTGTTCCCCCTATATTTACTTTTAGATTGCATTTCTTCTGCAAAACCTCTGTGCCCTTCAAGTTTGTTTCAGTGTAATGATGGCTCCTGTATCCGACAAGATTGGGTTTGTGACAACATGACTGATTGCTTTGATGGGTCTGATGAAGACTTTAAGATGTGCAGTAAGAAAGATTTTTTATTAATTACTAGTAACTATATAACTACTATACTTTTTGTTAAAAATTGAAAATTGAATCATTTCCTTGTTTTAGATAAACCATTGTTATTTATATAAGAAATTGAGTTCACGCAGTTTAATTATTTAAAAATTAAATTGTTTATGTATTCAATATGTTTTAGGCTCAAAAACATTCTGTAATCCAGAAGTTAAATTTCCATGTGCTACATCTGGTATTTGTTTACGAAAATATAAATTTTGTAATGGTATTCAAGATTGTGAAGATGGTAGTGATGAAAAATCATGTCCAACAAAAGACTGTAAGATAACTGATTTAAAATGCGGAGATGGCTTTTGTGTAGATGAAAAAAAAAGATGCGATTATTATAGAGATTGTGCAAATAATGAAGATGAAAATGATTGCGGTAAGTTTTTCAGAAGGAAAAAAAAGTTATTTTTGTGATAGTTTAAAAGTATTTAATATGAGTAATAATATTGTAGAATGTTTAATAAGTAGATATGCTAGTTTATGTTATTTATTAGTTTATGCTAGTTTAATTAAAATGATTACATAATTAACATAATTAGTTTTGAATAATTATGTTGCATTTATATTTATAATTTTAAAGATAAAGCAAATCACTGGGAAAAAATAATAATAAAGCATAAATTTGCTGCATCATATTACTATCATGTCTAGAATCATTAAAAAACCCAAAACATTAAAAAATATGTTTGTGCCATAAAATCTTCATGATAGCTAATATACCCTTATCAATGCCTGTATCTATAGGCAATTATACTGCTAGCAAAGAGACATCCTTGATAATCTCAAGCTATACAGGACTAATTTAAAACATACCAGTCAATAGCCCGGCAGGGCAACCATATAGTAATGGTCAAACTATATTTTGAACTATAAAGATTTTATTCCCTGTCACTATTTTAAAAAAACCTTTAAAAAACATTCAAAGTAGTTGTTATTATATTTTTTGCATTGTATAATTTAATAATCATAAAAAAAGAAGCGCAATTTGAGATAAATTAGACATGCAGGGGAATCAAAATGTTTCAAAATGTGATTATAATATTTTTTTAAACATTTTCTTTTAGTTCAAAATGAATCATTTTTTAATCATTGTAATTGCATTTTGAATCATGTGAATAGACAAAATCATTTGTTTTTCATAGTCAAAATGAATTTATTTTTAAATATAGTTAAATTAAACAAAAGGTTAAACAATATTAATGATAAACATTGAAATTTTTTTTTAAACATTTATCATTAATATGTTTGAAAAAAAATAAAAATAAAAGTTAGATTAGATTAGATTAAAATTTATTAGAACAGTGATACATGTTCTAAAGGACACGCAGGTCCATAAAATATGAAGGACTCTGACAAGGTGCCCTACAATCACATAATACAAATGCTAGATAATGTAAAATATATATTACAATTATATATAAGACCATAGTTATAAAACAAAAACCAGTTAGCCGGAACAGTATTTTTCAAAGTCAATAGAGTTAATTTTAATTTTGAAGCTCTTTATATTTTTGGCATTCACGACGTCAGACGGCAAGTTATTCCAAATATTAACAACCCTGAGTGAGAAAGAGTGTTTACGGACATCGAGTTTACATTTTAGTTTGCGTAATTTAAAATTATGTCCTCGAGTGTAAATATAGTTGTTAAATAAAAAGAAACTTGATTTATTTAGGCAAACTAAATTGTTCAGAATTTTGTAACATGTAATCATGTCTTGCTTAAGGCGATGAATTTCTAGTAGTTCCAAACCAAGAATACTAAGTCTACTTGAATATGAAACATTATTTAGGTTAGAAATTCTTTTGGTAAAACGTCTTTGTACTCTTTCCACTGTATTGTTCATTTTAGTACGATTTGGCGACCAAACCGGAGAGCAATATTCTAAGATCGGTCTCATATAAGTAGTGTAGGCTTTAACGATAACACGTGGATCACGACTTTTAGTTGTTGTAAAGTTGTTGTATTTTAAATTAAATTAAAAACATTTACCTATTTGAAAATTAAGCGAGAATAATTTTATTTTTTTAATTTTTTTAATTAAAAGTTTATTTGTAATCAAACAGTTTCTTAGTTTCAGTCGTACTTTAGTAGTTTGGTATATTATTTATTATTCAATTTCAAAGACGAAAAGATAAAAGTTGATTTTTTCTTCTTTCTGAAATTAATAAAAATTATTTTTTTTTTTTTTTTTAATATTTTGTTGTCGTTAATAAAGTAAAGATTTTTAATTATTGTAGAAAGACATTTTAATGTATTTTAATGATTGTAGAAAGACATGTACATATACAATAAAGGCTCATATTTATTTTACTTTATACTTTTGATATGCAAACACATGTGTTCTATACTAAACATATTCCATGCAAAACATGCTAAGACATATTTTAAACTAGCAGAATCTCATATTTTTAGTCTATCAAATCTCGTATTTTTAATCTATCAAATCTCGTATTTTTAATCTAATTTCAAAATCTGTAAGAAACAGCTACACATTTGTAGCAAATAAAAGTGTTAACAAATTAATTTTTAACAGAAAAAAATAATTTTATAAAAATAAAAAAAATAATTATTCTGAAAAAAAGTTTAATTACGAATTTAATATGCAAAAAAAAAAAATATCAATAATAATATTTAATTGATAAAAAATTTAGATTTTTTAGCATTAAATAAGTATCAGAACAAAAGTTTAAAGATTAAGGCCTAAAGATTAACGCTTCTCCGAGTAATTATTTTTATTACTTTTTAATATCGAGTTATGATGCCTTTAGCTTTTATGACTTTTACAAGTCAACATGGCATCAATTTAACTAATGTCTTTGTCGTATCTGAGTCGATATCAGAGCAAGCTTTTTGGAGCATGATATTTAATTCTTCTTTTCTTTTTTGACATCGTGTGCCACATTTTTTATCCAGAATAGCCCAGAGATGTTCAATTGGATTGAGATATGGACTTTGCACTGGCCATTCAAGTTACTCAATTTGCTTTTGGATAAAAAACTCTTTTGCTTTCTTTGACGTATGTTTAGGGTCATTGTTAAGGGTCATTGTCTTGTTGGAAGATAAAATGTTTTCCTAATCGCAGTTTTTTAGTTGAAACCAGAAGATTTTTATTGAGAATGTTAACATAAACCTCAGAGTCCATAATTCCAAGCCATCAATCCCCATACCATAACATTGCCTCCACTAAATTTTACTGCCTTGTGCCTTGAAGGCAGCTGAGTATGAATGCTTCACCTTCTTTTCTCCATACTTTTTGAGCATAACTAGTTTATACATATGAAAAAATATATAATTCAACTCATTGCCCTCAAATTTAGGGTTGAAGTGTGGGGAGGGGGGACTAAGATTTAAAGTTTTATCATACTTCACAAGAATAAACTTTAACTCATCTGTCCGCAAAACTTTTCGCAAAACTTTTCCTCCATGATACCGGCATATTTACATATTTTTTTGCAAATGCAAGTTTTTGTTTTCAATGGATTTTTGAAAGGAATGGTTTCTTGCATGGAACTCTTGCTTTGAATCCACTTTCTTTCAATTGATTTTGAATAGTACATAAGTTCACTTGTAACCCAAAATCTTTCTCAAGGAGGCTTGACACTTTTGGTGCTGATAAAAAGCGGTTTTTTTACACCATCTTGACAATTTGTCGATCTATTCTTGATGTTGTTTTATGCTTAGCTCCGAATCTTAGCTGATTTTTTCACATATCCAAACATATTATAATTTTTAATCAGATCGCTGATAGTTTCTAATGCCATTCCAGTCGCTTTATTTATTGACCTAAATTTTTTTACCTTGCTTGAGTCTTTGAAAGTTAATAACCAAATTGTGCTGAGCTTGGGGACCATTCCATGATTTTAATTCCCATACTTAATGATGTCAATGTTAAATCAAATGAATTTTAAAAAATATCAGTCAATTGTTAAAAATTACTTGTTGTAAAACAATAATATTTCTAAAACTATTGATTTAAAAACTTTTTTTGATGATCACTTTCAAAACTTTGTTTACAAAACAAAACGTACTGATAATTATTTTTTGTTGAAGTTTTAATGCTCCATCAGGATTCGTTAAATTTTAGCAACACAAGTTAATTACCATTGATTAATTTTTGGCTATATAAAATTGTGATTAAATTTGCTTTTAGAATAATTGTAAAAGTCTTTATCAAAATCATATGTTTTTCTGAAATAATGTGACAAAGTTTATTTTTCACAATAAAATGTTTTGTTCTGATACTTATTTCTCTGACTCTATATGATAAAATTAAAATAGAAAGTTTAATATAAATTTTTTTATTTTGTAGTAACCTAAGTATAGATTCTTTTTTTTTTATAATTTTGCTTTTTTTTTTTACTTTATTTTTATTTATTGTTTGTAAAGTTATTATTTAAAATAATAACTTGGCTTAGTTACATTTTTTATTTATTTATTTAGCCCATAGTCACGCAAACTCAGTTATATGTGATCATCAATGTGGAGCACATAGATGTGTTCAAAATGGTAGTTGGATACAGTGTCAGTGTGGACCAGGGTATAAGTATGATGAAAATAAAACTTGTGTTGATATAAATGAGTGTGAACAAACACCACTTATTTGCAGTCAGATTTGTAATAATATTAAAGGGAGCTTTTTGTGCAAGTGTGCAAATGGTTATGAGCATAATGATATTGGTGAATGCAAAGCTATTGGTTAGTTGTTTTTTACTACTATTTGTGTGTGTTTGTGTAAATTGTGTAGTGTATTCTTCAAAAAGAGTGAAAATCTTTAAAGAATGCATTAGTAAGTTAGTAAAATAACTTATCATACTATACTATATAACTTATCTACTACTCCTTTCTGTAACAATGTAATTATAAAACTAAATATAAAAAAATATTAAATATAAAAAAAGTCTATCTACCACTCCTTTCTGTAACAATATAATTATAAAACTAAATATAAAAAAATATTAAATATAAAAAAAGTTCAAATTATAGAAAAAAATAGTAATTTGCTTTTTTCTTTTATACTTTAAATATATATTGACAGTTTTTTTGAGTATTTTTTATGTCTAATTGATTGTGGTAGGCATAATATTTTTTCTCCATTATTTATAGATTAGTCAATATATTATTTATCAGGGTTATTATGTGAAGAAACAATGCATTTGTAAATAATATTTGCATTAAGTACTTTTCATTCTTAGACTAATTTTTTTTTTTTTTTGGTGAGTTTATGATTTTACTTGTTTGGGTTTTATGTTGCCAATGTTTTATGTTGTTTCTATTATTTTTTCCAGATTGAAAAGTTTTTAAATCATACCAAAGAGTTTTTTAGAAAATTTATTACAAATAAATGCTCTTCTGCAGTTCTCTGTTGCAAAATTGTTTAGGTCTTTTTTACTGCACCTTCCTATGCGAAAAGAAGGGCATTGGCCTTATTTAAAATTCGATAAAAAATCTTTATATAAATGTATAATACTCATTTATATAAGTATATGATTGTTAAGTTTATAAGTTAGTTTGTGCTTCTTAAAGAAAGACAAAATTTACCATTTTAATCAGAGGCTATTGTCATGTAAGAACCAATCAAAACCATTTAAAGTTACAGTTTGTATGCATATGCATCATATGATGATGGTGGCATATGATTAACATTTATTTATTTATTTTAATTTAGGTCCTCCTTCTATTTTATTTATTCCAACCAATAGGAAGCTGATGAAAATTTATCATGGAGATTATACTTTGGAGACTGATTTAGGGCATATAGCCTCATTTGATTTTAATTATGCTATGCTCCCAATTTTGTATACTACTGATGGGAACAGCTCAATGACAATATTTACTCTTTCAGGTGATTTTTTTGGTTTGCTAAGCATTTTATGTTGATTTATTTTGCACAGAAATTTTTTTTTTTTTTACACATCTTTTTTTCAGATGAATTTCTGGTAGAATCTAATAAACTTCACCGGCGTTCCAGTGAGCCAAGGTATAAAACGATAAATACTTTAATTAATGTTTCGCCAAGTCATATTGTAGCTGATTATATTGGAAATAATGTTTACTGGGTTGATTCCAGACTTGATTACTCTGGAATTTATATGGCAAATTATATAGGACAATTCAAAAGAAATGTACTAAAACGTACTATGAAGATAGAAGCATTTACCTTAAACTCTGAGGAAGGGTAAATAACTTTTAAAAACATTTACTTTTCTATTTTATATACATTTACAATAATATTAATGTTGTTTAATTAATTTTCCCTGTTTATTTTTCTTTATAATTTCTATATTTAATATATAGTTTTATTATTTTATTTTTTATATATATATTTTTTTTTTATAATATATATAGTTATAATTTTTATATTTTAACATTATGTTTAGGGCACTAATACTCAGGAGACGCGTGCGGTCGCATGCCTTGAATGACCACGCATATATATTTTTTTGTTGATAACATGGCCACAATTTTTTTTTGCATTTATTAAAAATGACGCATTTTAAAAACGCGCTGAAAAAATCAAACTAATTAGTCATCTTATTGGGTTTTTTTTAATAATATTAATTTATTATTACAATTATTTATGAGAAAATTAAAATCTAACAATAATGCACATATATATATTTGTAATTAATAATAAAATAAAAAGATAAAAATAATATACAAATATATATATATTTTTATTTGTTTTCATGCATTTAATAAAATTCTGGCGATTTTTTTGTTAAGTTTTTATTTACTAATTGAATTACGTCATTAAGTAATTATTATTTCTTCCTGTTGGCTTGACAAGGTTTTAACTGAAACTTTTTATATAAGGAGAATTAAAAAAAAAAAAAATTTTTCATATGTATTAAAATTATTTATTTTATTGTTGTTTTTTTTGTTTGTTTATGTACTATTATTTTGGTGGACATATAGATGTTTAGAAAAGATTTAAATATTTAAAAATTTAACTTAGCAGCAAAGCCGGCGCAATAGGGGTGTGTGTGTGGGGTGTGTGACCCCCCTCCATCAATGATTTTTAGTTGGCAAATTTGACCCTTAGTCAGCAAATGTGACCCTTTTTTGACTAGTTAGTCGGCAAATGTAGACTCTGTCGATAGGTTAGTCGATTAAGTCAGTCGGCAAATGTTGTTATGGCAATCTGTAAATTTTAAAAAACGAGGACCTTTTTTTTATATATATTTTTTATTTTTAAGACGGCAAAAGTTGTTATGGCACCCCCCCCCCCACCCACCCACGTGACCCCTATTCGTGCCGGCTCTGCTTAGCAGCATTATAAAAATTTAATCTTATAAAAATAAAGCAATATGCATAAACGTAAGAAGTGTAAATAGAAACTTCAACAAACCAATTACTCAATTAAGTAATAATAAAGATGTAAAACTAAAATATTTTTCTGAAGTTACTCTTGGTCTTGCGAAAAAATTATTTCCGGGTTGATAACTTTCATGAAAGTTATGAAAAATCACTCAGGAAGAGTGCCACCAGTTTTTAAAAAATTTCTTTGTTAATTATTTTTAATGAATGAGTTCAATACTTATGCAATTCTTTTGTTACGTAACTCTAACTCTTAATAATAGATAAAAAAAAATCATGATAACCGCTCGATAATGTAAGTGATGTAATTTAAGTAAAAAATACAGTATCAAAAAAACAAGTTTATTTTAAAAAAGTTTTTATAAAAATTTTAGATTGGTATAGAATTATCTGCATTTTGTAAAAGTTTCTAATACAAACTGATTTACTGATTCGCAGAAATGAGACCTATAAGTTGAATTTGTTTTTTTACCTTGTTTTCCGTGTAACATCAGTGCAAGTGGCATTTTTAGTAATAAGTTTGCTTTCTTTCGGCCGAACACAAAACTTTTAAGCTTATTTTATTTATTAGACTAACAGCTTTTATACAAAATTGCTAAAAGTTTAATTTAAAAGTTTAAATAAGCTAATATTTGGTAAAGTTATTGCGCGTGTAACGTAAGTTAAAAATGGAAATGCCTATATATGTTATTTTAATGTTTCTATTTTCTCAATAATAACTATAATAATAAATTATTAATAATAATTAAAAAAAGATGAGCCATTAATTTTGTTTTTTCAGCGCGTTTTTAAGATGCGTCATTTTTAATAAATGCAAAAAAAATCATGGCCATGTTATCAACCAAAAAAATATATATGCGAGGTCATTCAAGGCGTGCGACCGCACGCGTCTCCTGAGAAGGCCTGAATACCTGTAATACCGCAAAATTTTCTAAAACACAATTTCACACAATTTTTTAGCTATTGGCACTTATGCTATCAAGTTAACATAAAGTATATTATTAGTATAAATAAAGATATCATCCAAATTAGACTATTTTAGTACAAATTATGCTAGCAATGGAAAAAACTTTTGGTTCAACACTTGTTGGTTTTATTGTTAGCAAAACTTGATAAATTTGTTCAAGATACATGTTGTTCATTAACCCATTGCACAGTGGGACAGAGTGTGCCAAAATACAAAAAAATCACTATTGGCATTGTATTCTGAAAATATGTCATAATGGTGAAAATATGTTTATTAGAGGAAATATATATAGTTAAAAAAACATTAAATATTAATTTAAACGTTGTTTTATGCAGTTATATTCATGTGAATTTGACATGTGTTTCAAAACGCTTTTTTGCATTTTTTAATTATCAACTTTCTTACGCTACTATTGTTTTAAATTAATTTTATTGAGTATGATTTTAAAATATATTGTTTGAATTAACTTTGTTTTTTTTGCTCTGACTATTCAAAACAATTAAACGTAAGTGTAATCTTCAGTTTTTATGCATCAGTGACTGGCAGTTTTGGCTTTTTTTTTTGCTACTAACCTTTACTATTAGGTATCAGATAAACCGTCCTCCAATATCCTCCAAACATTTGATTATGTAAATCGGATGCTTAATGTATCTTAACTGCAATTTATTTATTTTGCAATTTATTTATTTTGCAACTTTTTGCAACTAATAAACTTATAATAACTCATACTCAATTCATAGTATTTATTGCAAAAACACGTTTTTCATAAGTTCTTGAAACTCAAATATTTTTCATGACTTTTTAACTGCAAATTAATTATGCAAGATTTTTTTTACCAAAGGTTTCAATAATTATTTTTTTTTTAGTTATATATATGATACTTGTTGATATGGTGTCTTTTTCCCTCCATCCCTCCTCCCCCCCCCCCCTTCCTTTTCCCCCTTAAAAAAATATTTTTATAACCTTTTCAGTATATCTAATGCTTTTACATATAGTGTATGCACTAATAATATTTTACAGACACTTGTCCGCAAGATGCAATAACTTCAATTTTGTTTTTAAATGAAATATTTTGATCTTTTCAACTCTTTAAAAGATAATAAAATTTCTATTCAAGATACTGAGAAATCATATATTCATTTGCTAACATTCTTTGAGTTATCCCTTGATCAGAACAATCAAATTGTTTGGAGATCAAAGTTTATGAACATTTTAGCACATCTTAAATATTGCTGGAATGTCTGTAAATGCAGAGAATCTTTATTTATCAAGAACAATACTAAATGGCTTGATAATGAAATTAATTTAAATGATTTTGCTGCAGGCAAAATAACCATACCTACAAGTTCTCAATCTACTTCCAGCGCTGGTCAACCAACAATTATTGACTTTCAAGAGTGTTCTTCAAGAACTAAGTATCGACGTGTTAGTAAACTCCAAAAAAGTCACTCGTCAAATGAGCTAATATTTGCTTCAAAATTTTAATTAAATAAAGAAGGAAAAATAGAAAAAGCTAAAGCAATCAACAAAATATATTTAGATAAGAATGTAGATTCTTCGATGCTTTCTAAAAATGTAGCATTGTCGTTGATGCTAGATTCAAATATGACCAAAGCTGCGTTTCAACTCCATAAAAATGCAGCAATTGAAAAAGAATGCAACCTGTATCCTGCATATAACAATATAAAATCATCAAAACTTTTGTGCTACCCTAATAACATGATTTTTACTGACTATACTGCAAGTATACCACTGCAAAGTTTATGTGACCATACAGCTCAGAGACTTTGTCAAGTTCAAAATGAGGTTTTATGTATGCTAGAAACGTTTGACCTGGTATCTCCTAATTATTAAGCAAATTTTGATGGGTCTACTGGTCAAAGCATATATAAACAAAAAATGTCTGTTGAAAGTTTTCGCGACTTGAAAAGAGAAGAATCATTGTTTCTAACTTGCCTGGTTCCACTTCAGATTACAACTTATGTTAGAGAAACCCTAACTGTCATTTGGAGAAATCCAAAACCTTCTTCCACTTTATTTTGCCGACCTTTAAGATTTAAATTTGAAAAAGAAACAACTGATTTATTACTTATTGAAGAAGCTACTTTGAAAGGCGAAATCTTAAATCTTGTAGAAACTTTTGTTCAGATATCTAATGGCAAGTCTATTTCAGTCAAACATATCACTCAAGTTACAATGATAGAGGGTAAAGTCCATACTGCTCTATCAAATGTAACAAGCTCTAGTCAATGTTGCTGTATATGCGGGTGTTCACCAAAAGACATGAACAATATTGATAAAGTTACGAAACTTCCATACTCACCGGATGAGCTTCAATATGGATTATCTACACTTCATGCATGGATAAGATTTTTTGAGTGTCTCATACATATTTCATATAAGATACCAATAAAAAAATGGCAAGCAAGAGGAGACGTAGAGAAATCTCTTGTTAAAGAGCAAAAAATGAAGATACAAAAAGAATTTCAACACAAAATGGGACTTATTGTTGACTACCCAAAATGTGGAGGATCTGGAAACTCAAATGATGGCAATACTGCTCGAAAAGCTTTTTCAAATGAAGACTTGTTTACTGATATTACAGGAATAAACAAGGAACTAATTGTAAAGTTGCATATAATTCTAATTTGTATATTAAGTGGATTTCAAATAGATACTAGTAAGTTTCGCTTACTTTGTCTGGAGACCGCAAAACTTTACTCATGCTTGTACCATTGGTATTACATGCCTCAGAGTCTTCACAAGATCTTAATTCATGGAGCAGAAGTAATAGAAAATCTATTCTTATCAATAGGTCTATTTAGTGAAGAAGCTCAAGAAGCTAGAAATAAAGAACTTAGAAAATATAGGGAACATCATTCCCGTAAAAATTCATGATCAAAGACAAACGAAGATGTAATGAAAAGACTTTTATGTACATCTGATCCAGTTATTTCATCTTATAGAAAAACTGTTTCATCTGTTAAAAAGAAATTTCCTCCGGGTGTTGTTGAACTTTTTATTTGCGAGAATTCTACGTTCTAGAATATAGATCTAGTTCGTAATTTTTAATGATAATTAAACTAAAAAATAAACTTTTTTAGCAATATATATATGAGCTTGATATTCATTTTATATGGTTTGTATAATTAGTTTATAACATTTCTAAAAAAAAAATTAAAAATAATTTTGGCACAAAAAAAAGTGGGATTTTATCCCACTGTGCATTGTAGGCTATTATTTAAGGAGTTTTTGATTTTCTTTTTTCTTTTTTAACATCTTTACTTCACACAGTCAACAAGGCTGCAATTAACCACTTTTAGAGTTGGAAGTTACTGGAAGAAAAAATTTATAGAGCAAGAAAAAGATTGCAAATTATATGAATCAGGAAAACAAGATAAAAGAAGCAAATTCCAAAGAACTGATGTTCAAGGAAAAAAGCTAGTTTAATTTGAATTTTTGGAACACTTTTGGAACAGTCACAGTTGAAGGATGAGACTTAATTGAATGACGAGTAACACAAGAATGAATTTTAGTAAATGGCACAAGAGATGCTAGCTCTTTAGAGCAGTGCCCATTATAGTATTTGTAGAAAAGAGAAAGAGAAGCAACATTACAACAATGCGATAATGGTTGGAGTTTAATGGGATAATGGTTGATAATGGTTTGCACCCTGTCTCTTTTAGACAAGCCAATTAGTGATGTCCACTCAACTAATGTTAAACTGAACTTCATACCTTGTACTTTTAAAGATTGCAGTTCATGAGTCATTTCTTTTTTTGTATTTTCTCCATAGTCCATAACAATTTATTTTGTTTTATTTTGGTATTATGAAATTTAGCGTAAGCTTGTAGCAAGCTGCAAAATAATTAAATAAAAATTTGGGTATGAAGCATAAAATACCAGTATTTAGAAAAAAAATACTAGTTATATCAAGTGTAATTTTGTAAATTAGAAATTTAGATATTTAGAAAACAAATACTGGTATTACTGGTAGTATCGAAACTGGTATATTATTCTTTAATTATGTTTTTTTTTTAGTTTTTTTTATAATTATTTTTCTAGCAAAATGTATTGGTGTGAGAATTCATTTGAACCACAGATATTTGAAGCATATATGGATGGATCAAATGTAAAATCATTTTTTTCTGAAAATCTTGAGTTTCCCACAAGTTTAGTAGTTGATCCAGCTTCAAAAAGGTTGTTCTGGGCTGATATGAAAAAACAAACTATTGAAAGTGTTGTCTTAGATGGGACATTGCACATGGTAGTGATAGACTTTTCTAGACACCCTAAACATTTCTTACCAGTTTCAATTGATGTTTTTGAAGGTAATATTTATGGCTTGATGAAATACAGTGGAAGTGTATTTAAAGTTGATAAGTTGGGTAAAGGACATTTTTCAATTTTAAAAGAAGATCTTTTTAAAACATCTCAGCTTCGTGTTTATCATCAATCTAGACAGTTATCTACTGTTAAAGGTAAAACTTTTTTTTTTTCCCATTATCTCTAATATATAGTTCATTATCTCCAGAAATAACTGTTTAAAGGTAAAAATTTTCATATTTCTTTAATGTTATTACAGGGTTCCCACTACACCTTAAAAACCTTAAATATCCTTAAAAAATAAAAACCTCCTTAAATGTTCTTAAATAATCTTTAAAAAAGTTAAAATTGACTGCAATCCTTAATTTCTCCTTATTTTTTATTTTTCTTTAACAATCTAGGAAATTTTATTAAAGTGAATGAATTATATTTATTAATAAAGAAGAAAATATATAGTTCCTTGATAGTTTGCAAACCTATATTCTTATTAAACATATTTATATATATATATATATATATATATATATATATATATATATATATATATATATATATATATATATATATATATATATATATATAAATTTATAATAATTTCTCTGTTTATATTTAAAATTTATTTAAAAAAATAAGATTCTTGTTTTAGTATAATCGTTTTCTCCTTAATTCTCCTTATTTTTTCTTTCAAAAAATTGTTATTCGCGACCAAATCTCCTTAAATATTAGGAAAATATCTCCTTAAATCTCCTTAAAATCCTTAAACTTAACTTCAGTTTTAATAGTGGGAACTCTTTAATTATCTAAAGGTTTTTAATTTCATAAACTTAAAAAAAAAATTGCCTTTAATGTTTGACAATAATTTTGTTTTTCTTTAAAAGATTTTAAAAATCCATGTTTATTCTCAAACTGCCCTCAAATGTGCATTGTGATTGGTGGTACTGCTAAATGCATTTGCCATGAAAATGCTGTCAACTGTGATAAAAGTGAGTAATTTGTTATTGTGTTATGAAGGATATATAAAGTTAGTGAGTTGGGTTGTGGAGAAAAGTAGAGTTTAAAGAGTGGAGGGGGTAGAAGATTTAGTTGTTGCAAGTTAGAATATTTTTCCATTATTATTATTATTATTATTATTATTATTATTATTATTATTATTATTATTATTATTATTATTATTATTATTTTGATTGCTTTTTAAAAAGCAACTTTTTTTATATATATAAAAAAAAGATGATTAAGAGAAGTTTAATTTTTCAGTTAAATTTTTTAAATTTATTTTTCAACATTTTTTTAAATAAATTTATTAAATGGAATCTATTTGTTCAAGTTTAAAAAAACTCTAAACACATCTTTGTACAATAATACTGAACTCAATAGTTCAGTATTATTATATAGAGAATAAGTTTCTTAGCATAATGTATAAGAAATAATAAGAAATTTATATACATTGTATAAATATATAGTGTTATATACAATCATCTGTTAGTATAAACGTCAATAGGTTAAGTTAAGGTTGTGAATCATTTCGAAAACAGCAAAATTGAAAAAAACCTCAAAAAATCTTTTAACCACAAGATGAGTTTAGATACATTTTTTTGTTTGAACAGAAAACAGCTTATAGATTAATGTAAAAAATATATAAACTTTTTTAACTCCAATTTTTTACAATGATTATAATTAATTTAGTTGATGATTTTTAAGCAGGTGCTCTAAATAAGTGCGTCTATATTGCATAGCAGGTATAATTTGTAAATTTTGAAAATATAAATCACAATAAAAATTTAAACATTTTAAAATGAAAATATTATTTTAGATTTTCTATTCTGTGATAATATCAGTATAATTTTTCTAGAAAATAAAAAACCATAATTTTTAAAAAATAAGTTCTTTAAAAGTTGGTTTTTTCAGTGAAATAAGTAATTTATTTATTGAAAATTTATAGTTTTTATCAATAAAAAAAAAATAAAGAACCATTAGTTAAAAAATTGAATATTTTCTTAGTTTTAATTAAAAATAATTTAATTTTAATTTAAAATAATTTAATAATAAAAAGTTTATAATTTTTTTTTTGCAAAGTAATTTATCATAACAAAATTATGAAAAGTTTGTAATTTTATTATGTAAAAGTATGTTAAACTTTCCTGTTTAAGATTTTCATAACATTCATCACATCTTTGATTGCGTTTTTTTTTAACTAAAAATGAGTACTAATACTGAACCACTGATAAACATCAGTTATTGCAACAAACTGCTAATATATAGTAGTTAGTGCAACGGGTACTAATACCTAAGTTGTTTAAAATGCGTAAAGTTGATAAATGATTAATTATTCAGGCTTGGTTGGGAAGCAGGTGCCATCATACTTTATATCAGACCACGCATATAATATTTAGTTTCAACATCATGGCCACAACTTTTTAGATGTTTTAAAAACATTTCAAAAAGCACAATGAAAAAGTTAACTTGACAGGATACAACTACTAAAAAGTGTTTGTTAATTAAAGATTCAAGAACCTTGCTTATGATAGGAAGAAGACTAATGGGACACTAGTTAAACAAGTCAGGTCGCTCTCCAGAATTTTTCAAAATAGGGATAACAGATGCCACTTCCCAGCATGCCAGAAAACAAGGCTCTGATAAGCACTTGTTGAATAGTTTTGAGAGTAAAGACGAAGCTTTGAAAAATAATTCTGCAAGACTAAAACAGGTATGTTGTCTAGACCACTAGCTGTAGAAGAGTCTAAGCAGTAAATCACTTTTGATACAAAAGCTGGAGTGATATGAATGTCAAGCAATGGATCAACCTGTTTGACAGCTATATTAGGTAGAATGCAACTAGTGGAATAAAGAGATGATATAGATGGTAAAAAGTTCTTAGCAAACAATTGGGCTTTATCTTTAGGTGAGGTGACTAAGTCTGAATCATACAAGAGAGGTGGAATTACAGATTTGCCCTTATTTTTGAGCTTTGGCATTAATCAAAACCTTTTTACAATGGTTTCTAGCAATAGTAAACAGACATCTGTTTTCTACAATTGTTTTGCTGATAGATATGGAAGTAACTGTTTCGATTGGCAATTACAGCAGCACAATGTGAGGAAAACCATTGAAAAGAGTGAGGCTTGACCTGGAATCGTCAAAAGCGAATAAAGGATTCCATGCCAGTCTGAATCCACGAAGTTATGTAAGAAGCACATTTGTCAGCAGGAAGGCAAAAGATTTCTACCCAAGGGCCATCATGAAGAAAATCATAGAAAGAGTCCCAGTCAGCTTTAAGGTAGTTGTAAGAGGTACGATGATAGGGGGATTTATATGATGAGGAAGAATGAGATAGTAGTTTTAGAGAGATCGAATCATGATAAGAAGCACCTAAGGGTGAAGTGGACAAACGAATGTGAAATAGACATATTTTTCCTGACAAATGGGTGAATTCTTACCAATGTAAATGCCCAGGCCAAGCATGTGACTATTGGAGTCTTTACGAGAGAAAAGAAGATAACCATCAATACTAAAATCACATAATGAGACAGCTGAACTCAAATTAGTCACAAAGACCAAGTAGGTCTGGTAAACTTTGCAAGAGATAAGACTCAACAGAAGAAAAGTTACTTCAAAGACTACAAATATTAGTGAATGATTTAGAGAACTTGGTGATGATGATGGTTTTTTGTGTTTTATAGTTTTTGGTACTTAAGTCATTTTAAATTTTTTAAAGGACTTGACTTAAAATAGTCCAAGCGAATGCCTTATTATTATTAATCAGGGTTGGCAAAAACCCGGTTTTTTTAAAAAAAACCCGGCCCAGTGGGTTTTTTTGGGTTTTATTGGGTAAATTTGGGTTTTTTTGGGTTTAATTTTTATTTTGTCTCTGTAAAAAATTTTTTTGTGTCTTTGTTTAATGATATTGAAAATTAGTTTTTTTCTACTTTAACTTTATTTAAAATATATTTTATATATTGTTGTTTAATTATTTATAACAAGAATTTTTCAAATTATTTTGAAAAAGATTTTTAAATATAATTTAAAACTGTAATAGAGAAAAAAAATTTCACGCTTAATCTATATGTATTGATTTATTTTAAATTTAAAAGTATTATTCTATATAATTAAAAATGTCAATGAGAAAATGTGAAAAAGAAGGCTTGAGAATGGGAGGTAGTAACTGAAGTTTCAATTAAACTTTGAACTTGAAATTCAAATGAACAAACTTGTTCCTCTGTGCAGAGGCCTTGTTTATAAAGATTCGTGTTTAGGAGTTAAAGAGTTTTTTTTATTTTTTAATCAATTCACCTCCTCAAAGCTTAAGGCCACTACAGGCGAGGAGGCTACTGATTTGTGGTTATAACATTCTCTCAACTCTATAACTCCGAAACACGAACCTTGACGAAAAAGGCTGCTGCGCGGAGAAAGGAGTTGAGCGCGGTACTGCCAGGGACGTGGTGGGGATCGAACTCGGAACCTCTCACTTATGAAGTGAGTGCTCTACCACAACACCACTACCGCAGAAGAGTTGAGAGAGGGTTGTAACCACAACAAGGTAGCCTCCTCGACTGTTGTGTTGGCTTCTCTGGTCACTACTACTCATTTAAATTCAACTTGGGAGGTGAATAACATAAAGTAATAAAAATCTCAATCGATAAAAATATTTAAATAAAAATTGTAATAATGTATTTCCAAATAATGATTCAAATAATAATAAACCTGCTCTGATAGCTGTTATTGTTGGTTATAATAGTTAATAATAATAGTTAATAATAATTAAGTTAATAATAATAGTTAATAATTATTTTAGTAAATAAATTTATAGTTATAATGTTAAAGTTGGTTATAATAGTTCATAAACTTATTAAATATCTTTAAAAAAACCCAATAAAACCCAGATTTTCCAGGGTTTTATTGGGTTTTTTTAGGCGGGTTTTTTTGGGTTTTATTGGGCGGGTTATTTTGGGCGGGTTTTTTAATGCCAACCCTGCTATTAATAAACCCTAAGCCATAACAAAGGTCTCCAAATGCGGCCTCAACAATGCACACCAAAAGTATGAACAGAGACACCATCCAATTTAATTTTTTGGTATAAATTGAAGTTTTATTAATTTGATCATTCATTTCTGATGAGTCTTTATTGATGAAACAAAGTGTTAAATGAAAAAAAATTTTGCTAAGTGATTTTCTACTACTTTATTGTTGCTCTGTTCTTTTAAGAACATTGAGCACTCTATTTTGTAGAATACATTTTAAAATTGTATTCTACAAAATAGAGTGAATAAATTTATAAATATATATATAAATATTTAAATTTATTCTAAATTTATATATATATATATATATATATATATATATAAATTTATTCTAAATTTATATATATATATATATATAAATTTATTCTAAATTTATATATATATATATATATATATATATATATATAAATTTATTCTAAATTTATATATATATATATATATATATATATATATATATATATATATATATATATATATATATATATATATATATAAATTTATATATATATATATATATATATATATATATATATATATATATATATATATATATATAAATTTTTTTATTGTTTAATGATTGAAAATAGTTAAAACAATATTCAAAATTGAATTTTTTAACTTGATATGGCTCTCCCCTTTAGTAGACTTCTGTCAGCTAAAATTTAAATTAAAATTTTATAATTTGTAAAATTTGATACTAAAAACAGGCCAACTAAAAAGGAATTAGTATTAAAAGGCATAACTAAAAGATTTAACAATTAACAGATTTTTGAATTACATTATACATTTAAATTTTGAAGTTCCTGCTATTATAATTGATTTTAGAATTCTTTAATGTTAATTTTTTTCTAATAGTAGATACAAAATATTGTTAGTTTTTATACCATTTACTAAAATTTTTTTAAACTTTTCTACAATGTAGTTGTTATAATTGATAATTTTAATAATTTTATGTTGTTTTAATTCATATACTATATATATTGAATTATTTAAAAAATTAATAGGGAGACTAAATCAATTACTACCATCTTTATATATAGAACTTTACATATAAGAGTTTTTTTTATTTGTAGAGAATTTGTTTTAGGTTATTTTGTTTGTTTATTCGATGGATATGTTGCTTACTACACAAATGATGTTCCAACTGTTTATTTATTTAAATTAGCTTTTTTGGCCAATATAATTAAATGTACCAAATGTTCATTTTTTGGTTGAAATTATGGTAAATAGAATTAAGTGTACCGAGAATTTGTTTAGGTTTGGGGAGTATACCACCCTTACAAAAAAGATATAGCATTCTATACTGTCAAACACTTTCCTCACTTTCCTCACTTTTGAATACATTTTGATATTTTTAGTGCTCATAAAAATTTATTATTTTTTTTTTAGTTAAAAGTTATATTTTAACACAATGAAATGTAGCGAAATTGTTTATATAAATTCGTAAATAAAAATTTAGTGAATGCTTTTATACAAGAGGTCTCCAGAAACTTGTTTGTAAAATTTTTTATTGTCAAGATGTAAATAGTTGTAGGTTTAAAAAAATCATTATTTTTCATGATCATATACATTTTTTTTAGTTCCTTGCAATAATAGTTTTTGTAGTGACAATGGAAACTGCACAGTAATTAATGGAAAAAACAGCTGTTTGTAAGTTCTTTACCAACCAAACATTTTTTTATGTAGTTATGATTCTGACATTTTTTAAGTTATAAGATGATTTTTTAATATGTATAAACTTATTTTTAAGATGTAACAAAGGTTTCCAAGGGAACAATTGTAGCACACAAACCTTATGTGACAAATTAATTTGCAAAAATGGTTTTTGTACAGTCAATGATGATAAACCAGAATGCATGTAAGGATTTTATTCTTTGCTATACATTGTTAAATAAACTATTTTATATATAATAAAAAAAAACTGTATTTTAATAAAAAAATAGTTGCTTTAGCAGTTGCATTTTTATTACATTTTTATTTGTAAGCCTACATCATTAGCTTGTGATAATATGCTTGCTGTGATAATATTCTGCCTATGTTTAGCTGTGATAAAAACTTTGTCCTCAGTGAAAATAGTCCATTTGACTGTATTCCTTTGTGCACTAAAGAATGTCTCTATGGTTACAAGTGTGTTTTTGATACCAATAATGTTCAAGTTTGCAGGTGATTTTTAAAAGTTTTGTATAAATGGTTTTTAAAAATTTGTTTTATATTGTTTGTGTTTATAAATTTTTTGTTTTAAATTTTTTTTTTTTTTTTTTTACATCAGTTGTTCATCAAGTAATTGTACTAATGTGGATAATCAAAAAGGAGCTTCAACTAGTAAGATATTCAAACATTTTTAACTTAATTTAACTAACACAGAATTTGATTGGGAACTTTTATTCCATATAACTTGTGATCTTAGTCCTCCTTATATCCGAAGAATTATTTGTCAACTTGACTATTTCAAGCAAAATACTTGAAATTTCCTCATAGTAGAATAAAAAAATTTTTTAGTTGCTATTTTCTATCATAAGTATTATTTCAAAGATTTTTATTGTGAAACTGTGCATAATAGTCTACTGGTAGTCTGGAATACTAGATCAAACAATTTTCTATTGTTAAACTTCAACATTTAATTGCAACATGTTGAATAAAAACTATAAAAATTTGTGTGAGTGTATATATATATATATGTATATATATATACATATATATATATATGTATATATATATATATATATATATATATATATATATATATATATATATATATATATATATATATATATATATATATATATATCAAACTAAGCGTAATGCAATGTAATGTAATGTTAAAATGTTTAGTTGTACCACTAACAATAGTCACAAATAAAAATAATGTTTTCATAATTGAAACAATCCTCATGCCACCACTCTTGGCATTTACAGCACTGAATCCATTTTTCTGTTGGCAGGTCACAGTATTCTTCTTCACAAGCAGGACATCTTATAACATCATCCTTTGAAGTTGGTGGAACTAGTTTATTTCTCCTGGAATTTATAGACTTAGGCCTACAGGAACTTAGCTTGAGTCTATTTACACTCTTTTTAGCTTCACGTGATTCTTTTCTTTGTTTTTTTAAATTTTCTTGTTCTTCTTTCTGCTTTTTTATTTGTTTTAACAGTTCTATGAATGATGTATTTTGAAGTGTGAGAAAAGAAAGTATTTTAAAAGGGAAAAGGAAGAAAAGAAAACTTGTAAGAATGCTTAAGCTCATTTTTTTGCTTTTTACTTTTTTCTCGTGTTTTTTGCTTTAGGCAATGGTTTGAAATCAAAAACACTAACCGACTTCTTTGGTGCTTCAAAATTTGCATTTGTTATAAGTTCTTCTTGATGGTTTGTATGCTGGTTTTCTACTACTTGGATTAGCATTAATGTTCTCAGTTTCATTTCCAACATGGTCAACATGGTCATCATGGTCAGTAGTTTTTTTGCAGCAAAGTCATATTTGCTAAACACAAATGGATTATAAGGCTTGATCCCACATTTTTTAAATATTAATAGCATTTCCAACTGTAGCTTCTTTAAAGTAAGCAGTGTTCAAAAAATCACGAATATTTTTGTCTGTGATAGGTTGTCCTGGATGATTGACCATAAAGTTGTGACATGCTTGGCTATAGTTATCTTTAATAAACCAAAAAATGACACATCAAGGGGCTGGAGACAATGTGATGGAGACGATGTGATGCAATGTGTGGGGCAGTAACCCAGCTATGATGATATTTTTCTCCCTGCAGTATAATATAACCTCGAAAGTTATGTGAGTTTTGTGATTTACCCTCTACTAGAGATAGCAGCTCTAGTCGTTATCTCTGCAGGGGTCTACAATTCCTGCTAAGGATCTTTCTGAGAGTTCAGAAAACATTTGTTTTCTGGCAAAAATCAGAAAAAGTTGGAGGCAAAAGCCAGTAGCGCCAATGCAACATTGGTGTTATATTATAGTTCTTCCTCTCTCTGCTTAAACAATTTTAAAAACTCTTCTAGATCCTGTAGGACTGAAAACTGTGGGTAGTTTATTAGGTGCAGTGGACAGACCTGACTCATCATTATATTTTTCCTGTCGCTTCCTTAAAATGTTGAACAACTTGTCTACGCTTGGCTGATGCTTTGGCAATCGATGTTGTTTCTGGTTTGTGTTCACTAACTTTATGTTTCTATGTAAAATTAGCCAGCCAATCTTTTTTTGTCATCTTTGTATGCATTATGAATATATGATGCAATATATGATATATATATATATATATATATATATATATATATATATATATATATATATATATATATATATATATATATATATATATATATATATATATATATATGTATATATATATATATATATATATATATAGTAAAAGATTTTAGAAAACAAAAATAAATCTATTTACCTTAAAATATTTATTATTAGGAATATTTATATAAATATTTATATTAACTAAAGCTTATTCATGCAATAATGCACTTTCTTCAGGTTTTCTTGAAGAGATTGCATTATTTTTATCTCTGTGTAAGATTATGTCTCCTTTTCTTGTCTTGTTAGAGTCATCCCACACATCCATCTGATTATCTGATCTTTTGGTAAATACTATGCCATATAAATACTAAAGTTTGTATAAATAAGTAAGGATATTGTATGCCAGTATCTAAATAAATAGCAAACATATATGCTTAAATCCATATATATCCGTATTATGTATGCATAAATGCGCATCTTGGAAGGTTTTCTTCCTTCTGGAATAAAAGTTTAGAAGCTTTTACTCCTCTTCAGTTTTAAATCAAGCCTTATTCTATGCCACATTTTTCTACGCCACATTTTTCGCCATCTTGAGCAGTTGCTTTATTACAGGGTAATCAATTTTTTCATCTTTTTTACAAGATTATTGCTTTTAAGAACAAATTTCTTTTTATTATTGAAATGTAAAAGATCTTCTCTGATGTAAATCTCTGTCATTCTCCGTTTACTAAATTTTGTATCTTATCTCAGGTGTTAGGTTCTAGAGACCTCTGGAAAGTCTTCAACAGTGTTATTAACTAATGTAAATCTAAAACATTTAATCTTTAATTCATGGGTCTGATCTTTTCATTCTCCCCAGAGTAGGGCAATATTATTTGGAAAGAACTTTTCCTCCAATATGACTCTTAAATAGCCATACTCTTTCTGTCATTCCATTTGATTGGGTTAACCCATTGTTAAACATCCAAATCACACTGGCATCAAATGCTCAAGTTAATTCTCTATTTAACTTGTATACAGCTTGTGGTTCAGACAAAATTTCCATCATTTTTTTTTTTTAAAGTGTTTTCCAGAACTCACTTTAATTTTTACTATTATTAAGTATAGTTGGTTTCATTTTTTAAAAACTCTAGAAAACACTCTGACCTCTTCAACTATCCTACAATTAGTCTTCACCCTATTACTAGTTTCTTTCTAAAAAAGTTTTGAGATTATTACATCATTTCTTTCTAATTGCAGTATTAAATTTATTCTTAAAGGCCTGAAATCTTCATTTCAAGTAACTTTGATAGTATCATTCTCACTTGGCTTTTTATTCAGCAAGTTGCATCTTTTTTACTGCATCTGTTCCTTCATGCTATAAAAGTTTTTCTTAATGCAGTTTTTTTCCTTGCGCATGTTTAAAATCCATATTATTGTCAAGTTATTAAACTCAAAATAAGACATTAGGATTCTTAATTAAAATTTCAGTTAATTTTGAGGTACCACAAGATTCCATATTTGGAATCTTGTGTCCTCATCTGTTAGTAATTTTCCTTAAAATCTTATCTCAAAAGTGGTTATTTTGCTTGGCTCTTTGCATTACACAACTATATACTGAATATATAGTTGTGTATCAGCAAAAAGTGTAGTGAATATATAGTTGTGTATCAGCAAAAAGTGTAGTGAATGTATAGTTGTGTATCAGCAAAAAGTGTAGTGAATATATAGTTGTGTATCAGCAAAAAGTGTAGTGAATATATAGTTGTGTATCAGCAAAAAGTGACAACGTTTTTCCAAAACTAGAGTATCACTCTAGTCTTGAAAAATCAGATTTATTGTTTTAACCAAAACTTAATCTTGCATCCTTTCTTACTGTAATTGCTCATTCTTGCTCAAAAAACTTTTTTTTTCCTCAAATTGTGCTTTAGAATTATCTTCTGTCTTCATCTTTTCCTGACTCATACACTTTACAATTTTAATGTCCAATTCTAAAATCCAGTTGTTTTTTTTAATAAATTTTAATTATTTATAAACTTTTTTAGTGCTCAAAAACTCTTAGTACAAGTATGACTCAACATAATATTATTTGACACTAGATTCTTTTTTGGGAACTTTCTATCCCACTTTATCCTTTTGATTTTAAACAAGAATTTTTTTTTATATATAAAATGTCAAATCATATAAAATTTTTACTAAATGCAATTATGTCTTAAAGCTCATTAAAGTTGTAGTGAAAAAATTGTTTTTATGTAGTTACTGCTATATTTTACTCAGACTAGTTTAAGTGGTGCAGAGTTTCCTGTTTTTGAAAACAAAAGTGGGGTTATTATGAAACCAAACAATTATGATAGGGTATTTGATGTGGTTCAGCTATTCACTAAGGATCATATATTTAACTAACTAGCAATAGAAACAAACTCTTATCGTACATCAAGTATTTAGATACTAATGAAAAGTGCACTATAATCCAGTTACTCTATTTAGGAAACGAGAAAAAAATATTTTTTTTTTAATTTAAATACAATATTATTAATTTAATATTCAATAATAATTTTTTCTTTCTTTTAAGGGCTGTTAACAACTTTGATTCCAGTGATCATTGGTGTTTTATTGGCTATTGTAGTATTGGTTGTAATTGCCATAAAACGAAGAAGACAGTAAGTTGGTTGTTTAGAAAGTGTAATTTTTTTAATTTTAAATTTCAAATTCAGATTAAAGCACATGCTGTGAAACGTTTATTTTGCACAGCAGTATATTGTTCAGAAATGAAACTTGATGTTTTTCTAACTCAAATCTTTTATTTTTTATTGAAGCTTTAAAAAAAATTTAAATTCATGTTATAAAATTATTTTCAATAATAATAACCTTCTGGTGAAAAATATTTGGCACAAAATAAACACAAGAAAAATGCAGAATAGTAAGCAGTATATTTATTTCTTGATTCCCGGATTGATTACCTGGTTACCTTTTTTGTCATTACAACATACTGCATCTCGCCGTTACTATGTACTTTATGTACTTTATGTGTCATTATAACTGTTTAAACTTTTTGTGTACATGTTTGCACACTGATTTTTTAAACTTTTTTTAAACAAGAATTTCTTTTTTGCAGTTGATCTTCATTTTGAATTGTTTTCATACATGTAGCCTTTAAGTATTGACCAGAAATTCTCAATAGGTTGTAATTCTGGTACACCTGTTTTCCAAATTTTGCTACAATATTTTTTTATCCGGCTAATTGGTCATACTTCTGGCATTGTGTCAAGAGGTCATATGGGATGTTTGTTAATAAAAGGAATCATTTTTATAATAGTACAATCGTTTAACTGCTAGTCCTGTAGAATTGACGAATGGTCGAGAGATTCCACAAAGGGATTTGGAAATCCACACAGGGGTTTTTTCAAATTTGCTTTTACATTTATATTTTATATTTTTGGTGCATTTTTTAGGTTTATCAGAGTTATTTCCAATATTATAATTTTTATTTGTTTAAATGTAATTTACAACTCATTATCAATGATAAATTCCTGGTTTCACAATTTGTGATTTTGTCCACAATTCAGTTGCAACTGCTGTAATTGTTTATCAGTGTGATAAAAAAATTTTTTTTTGAATAACAAATGTTTGTTTTTCAATTTTTTTAGGATTAATCTAACTAAAAATTTTTGCAATTTTTTGTGTTGATGTTCCAGAAAGGTTGAGAGACCTTTCAGCAGTTCCTAGCAATCTTAATTTATGGCTTTTTCCCTGATCCAGTCTAATTTATGGTTTTTTCCAGGCTAAGAGATTAATAAAGTAGTCAACTTCATTTTGCAAAAAATTTTTAAATCAATTAATCTAAATAAAACTTTCAATAGAAGAAAAGTAAACATTTTATAAAAAAAAAAGAAAAAAAGAAAACATGGCTGGGTAATTAAAAATTCAATAGGTTTTAACTGCTTAAAGATTGTGGCTAAGTTTTGTCACTATGGTAACCAGGGGTTATTAATAATACTTTTTGCTGATTGGCTTCTTTTAATTGTTACTTTTATAATTTGTAACATATTATGCAATTTTCCTAGAGCATCAATGCTTTGTAATTTTTTTTCTATCTTCATGTTTTCCTGATTTTATCATGTTTCTTGATTTCAATATATATATACATATATATATATATATATATATATATATATATATATATATATATATATATATATATATATATATATATATATATATATATATATATATATATATATATCAGGGATGTGTAGTCCCAAAAAGGACCCCGGATTTGAAAGTCACAAAAAGATTACTTCATCCTAGTTTTTGGTATCCAGGAGCTCTAAAAATATAAATAAAATTATGGACTATTAATAGGAAAAATTTAAACTTTTAGGTTAGAGGAACAATCATTTCATGAACCTGAAGTTTTTAGGTATAATGGTGACAAGGACTCTGGGACTCCAGAATTCCGGGCTTGAAAATAATAAGTTTCAAGACATTAAATCTCATGAATTTTTTTTCTTATAGCAGATCATAAATCAACAAATATGTTTTAAGCTTCTGGACACTTCAGATTTGGAAAAGTAGAGATATAAAGCCTAAGACCTTTTGGGACTTTGCATCCCTGCTAAATAAATATACATACACAGTTTAACATAAGCAGCTAAATAAACATACAGTTTAACATAAGCAGCTAAATAAATATACATACACAGTTTAAGATAAGCAGCTAAATAAACATACAGTTTAAAATAAGCAGCTAAATAAATATACATACACAAACATAAGTAGCTAAATAAATATACATACACAAACATAAGCAGCTAACAATTTATTAACTTATTTAGTTCAAACACCAGGACGGCGCTGTGTTTTGACTCAATTTTAAAAGTTTTTTTAAAAATACAAATTTCGATTTTTTTTTTTTTTTTTTTTTTTTACAGTTAAACTTAATGAAGGAAAAATTTTAAAGATTTGCTGGCCCCTAATGACTGTTTTTTTAGGGGACAACTCCAAACAACTAGCCGCGCTACTAATTATATTATTATTGTTTCGTTGGAGCAGGTAACTTGTTAAGATAATCCATTGCCCTCACAAACTTATTTAGTAAACTGTGTAGTAGGCCATAAATACCTAAGAGGACACTATTACTTCTACAAAAGGTTACAAACTTGTTTTAATTTTTAAATTAAAACAAGTTTGTAACTTTATTTTTAATTTTTAAAAAGAGATTTTCTAAAAAACTTTCTTCAAAGTAATTATTTTTCACAATTTTTATTTTTAATACTGCTATATTTATTTCACACGCCAATGTTTTCATCTTCCAAATAATCTTCATTAGTAGCTTCTAAATCGTTCATTATTTCATCTTCAAAATTAACAATTTCTGTTGGTTCTGATAATTCTAAGTCTGAGGGTTCTAGTTCTGTCAGTTTTATAGATTCCTTATAGTTCACTACAAAAATTAAAAAAATCTTTACTTTTTCTGGAAGTTTGAGCACAACTTTCTTCGTCCGTCTAGATTCCAAGGAGATAGAGCTAATAAAAAGATTGGATGATCTTATTGCACGGTTAAAGACGTCTTTAAAATTTGCTTGTCTTGAACATTTACGAGCATGTAGTTCACAATGTTGTTTGTAATATTTGTTTCGGCATTTAGATGCTTTCTCGGCTAAAACTCCTATGGGAACTGGCGAGTTTATCATTATTTCTGCTTCATGTGCAAGAACTTTGTGAACTATTGACACCATTTTATACCAATCATACAGATCTAAATATAGACAGTATACTATTTTACAGTATAGCTCAAATAACTCTGGATTCAATGTTTGCTGACAAGTTACTGCAATTAAGATATTTTTGAACATTTTAATATTTGTCTTTCAATCCATAATATTTCGCTTAGTTCTTTTGGGTCAGAGAATGCTTTTCTGCTATCAATTCCAGTGGTAGATGTTCCTGCTCCACTAACTGCAGGAAAATCAATTCAGAGTCAACTCCTTTTGAACATTAATTGCTGGATAAATTTCTTTTTGTTATCGTGTACTGTCTTGAATTCTTTGGTTACTCTCCATTTTTTGAATTCGAATTGGTATGAAATATGTAAAAGACACTTTAGAAATCTTATCCAAGCCTGTAACGGAGATATCCCATAGATAAGTGTACTTTTTTTTGCTGTAAATCCACTTAGAAAGTTCTTCAAACAAGTCATTGCAGTTAGTGTTGCTTTGCAAATACAACAGCACTGCTTTGATGATGTGTTTGTTATAATTGCTAAAACCTTAATAACCAACTCTCCATTAACCAATTCAACTGTTAACTGTTTGCATTAACTATTCACTGAATGCAAATCCAAAATTTCATTTTCTATTTGACGTTTTTTTCCTAAAATGACTACGGCAGTTTCTTTGATGAAATGAAGTTCAATTGGCCTACAAAATCTTACACTAGGTCGCATTAAGTTGGTCAACAAAAAGTAATTTTTTGAATTTAACACACTAAGCCTCAAAGGTGTTGTTACAACTACAAACATGCTTGAACCTTGAATCTGGAAATGCTTGGTTGTATAAAGCCTGCCCAGTAGATCCATTCATGCCCCAACTGTTTAAGCAACAAACTAAGTGAAAATATGTTTAAGCAACATATTTTCACTTAGTTTGTTACTGATATCTAAATAATCCATTATTTCTTTTTGCCTCATTTTTACAATTCCTTCTGCAGTATGATTCATTGCTTCTAAATCTACTTGACTTTTAAATTACTGAATAAGTGTTTATCCTGTTGACCACACAACTTAAGTGCTTTTTCAACTGTTGAATAAGATAGATATCTTATTTTAGATGTCTGTTGGATTTGTTTATAGCCAGATACGCTAAGATCTACATCAAATATGACATGTGCTAACGCATTGAGTAAAAAAAAATCTTTTTCATGACATACTTTTCTACGGGCTATAATGAATTTTCACTTGAATCAAAATTTGAATTTGTATGCTCTCCTGCAATTATTCGATGTTTACCTTTCTTACTCATATCATCAAAATCTTTTTTTGGTCTGCCTTTTATTTGTGCCAATTCCAATCACGAAAAGTCTATTTCAAACTTTTGATTTAACCATTTTTTTTTATTTCAAAAAAAACTGTGTTTTTTGATGAATCTCTTCAAAATCTTTGGTAATTCGATTCAAATCCATTTAACTTTTGTACCAAGTTTTCTTTTTTACCATCACTCATACAAACTCTAGAAGTTATGAAAAGTAAAGCATTGCTTATATTTTCTTCTTTTGTTGAATATTTGAAACAACTAATAATATCTTTTTGTTGTAAATTTCATTGCTTTTAATTTTGGTAGAATATATAACTTTTTATTCTTTTAACCTTTTTAATTTTTTTTTAATTATATCAATTTCAAGCGTAGAATGTTGATTTTTAGCATAGGATAGTAACACATATGCAAATAATTACCTAATTAAATGTCATTTATCAATTATAAACTATCATTTTCAATTGATTATTTAATACAAAGTCTTATGTAGACATTTGAACAAATATCACTTGGGAAAACAAAAAATTGAAAATTGGCTATAATCCAGGTAGCGCAAACTTCAAATAGAAATTTCTTGCACAGTCGCAAAAAGTTGCAGCTAGTTTTTTAATTTCCTAAAAATATTCAATTCCATGTTATTTAATAATAGTTTGGTCGATACCTTTTGATGCTATATTTTTTGCGAGTTCAGACTTCTAACGGAAGTTGGAAGTTGCGATTTAAACTTTTTTTTAGGCTTAAAACATCATGAAAATTGAAAAATAAAAAAGGTTTTTTTTCCTGAGCATCTTAAAACGTATATAATTTGATATATTTGTAATATATAAATTAGCAGAAAAAAAATATTCACAAAACACTGCATATATATATATATATATATATATATATATATATATATATATATATATATATATATATATATATATATATATATATATATATATATATATATATATATATATATATATATATATATATATATATATATATATATATATATATATATATATATATATATATATATATATATAAAGAGAGAGAGAGAGAGAGAGAAAGAAAGAAAGAAAGAAAGAAAGAAAGAAAGAAAAGTTAAAAACTTTATATTTTTTGTATCTAGATACAATCAGTATGCACCAAGAAAGATTAAAAATCTAGAAATGGAAAATCCAACTTTTGCATATAGTGGATTGCAAGACCAGATTTATGATGACTCATTTCCTGAACCTGATCATTTTATGACAGAGCATAAGGTATGTTATTGTGATTTTGTTTTTGTTTTTTTGTCATTTTAGTTGTAAATTTTAAAATAATTTATTAGAACTTAAAAGAATTTTATTTGTAATTAAATTCCAGTATTGTAAACCTCTATCTACCATATTAATAGATTTCACCTGATAAGAGCTTCTATTTGTAAACCAGGTCTAGAATAGTAGATTTAACCCAACTTTTTATGCAGCTAAAAAAAAATTCAAGTCTTGTGAATATTCGAGTTTAAGTTGATTTTTGATGAAAATTATTATTAAAATTTGTACAGTAATCAGATGAATTAGTTCAAATTTAGACAAGCGTTTTCTCAATAAGAGTTTGAAACTATACAACATTAGACAAGCTGTCCACAACAGTTTGCAACAAAGTTCATCTTCAAGTAGAGTAGAAGCATGATTGAGCATACAGATGGTGTTGTTGGGTGCAATGGTGTTTAAGTACATAACAGCACAATAATAACAAATTTACACTTCCACAACTTTAGATTTTTGTAGACTGCTGCTGTTTTACCTGGATTCTAATTTTGGAACTGCAAAAATCTTTTAATATCATTTACTAAGGCTGTGAATAGAAAGATCAACTTGTTATATAGCTTCTCATGTAACATAGTGCAAAATCTTTCTCTTATTGTTATTTATGGATTTGCATAGATTGTAATCTTTAATATTATTTACAGTGTTTTGACAACATTCCTGAAGATCACTGTAGATATCTGAAGACGTCTGAAGATGTACCTACAGACATCTTCAGTAAAAAAACGCTGCAAATGATCTTCAGACATTTACAGAGATCTTGAAATTTTTGAACAAATGGGTTTTGAACAAATGCAGATGCTACTATTATATTAGATTTACAAATGCTTATATTTATTTTTTCCACTACAATTGTGACATTTAGAGATGTAATTTAATTATAACGGTATTAAAACGGAAATGTAAAATTCATCTCCGTTATAATACTTCTCTTTCGTGATTCTCTTTCGTGAGTATAAACTTTAATAACTTTTTATCTTCTACTTTCTTTATCATTATATCAGAATAATAATAGAGTTATCTATGAAATCGTTTGCTTTTTCAATTGATCCCTTTAGTTATTTCTTTTGCAATTTTCATCAAACTAACTTGATAATATAATCTTTCATCTTCTGAATGACGAAATAAATGATGAGAATGAGTAAAATAAAAGCAGAAACCTTTTTCTTGATTGTGTAACCATTGATAAAATTTGATCATGAATTTGTTGTGCACCCTCATTTATTCATTTCGATGTCGACTTAAGTTTGATATGAGTTTTGGCCCCTGCTAATTTAAGCTGGTATATCTAAATGATAAAGCAATTGCTTATTTTGAAAACTTCTTTAAAAAAACCACTACGTATTTTGGTATAAATGTATTTGTTAATATTGGTTACACCCTTCACCCTGATTGCACCCTGGCTTTCTTATATTTACATATGAGTGAGTAAAAATGAAACAAATAACTAAATATTTTTTATATTAATATTTTTCAAAATCCTAACCAATTCGTAAGTTAGATTTTTTATAATAATAATAAAATTTTTTATTTACAGAATTTCAATGAAATTACATATGACCCATCCGAAGGAGAATCTCTAGATCGTATGCTTTTTCGAGATCCATACAGCGAAAAATTAAAATTGGTTGATGACGACTTCGATGCATGAGTTTTTAGATGCTTTGGAATTTTTTCTGTCGAATTCATTTTTCGTGGTGAAATATGGAATTGATCTTAAAGTAGAATTGATTCTTTTGAAGTGTTTTCGCCTGTTAAGTATAAGCTTAGCTTTTAACAGGAATTCTTTTGAGATGTTCGAAAACAAAAAACAACGATAAAACTTTTAAACTTTTCTATTTATTTGTTCTACTATTTATTTTATTTATTGTAATTAACCTGTTCCTGCAGTCATATTTTTTATTTCTGACATTATTATTTTTTAAACCTTATATTACGGTATTTGTTTTATTGCGGTATATGCTTAAAATGTTACGGTATTTGTTATATTACGGTATATGCTTGTAAAGCATTAATCTCTTTCCTTTTTTCTCTCGATATTTTCGATATTATTTTTTATTTTTTTCTTTGACGAAATGAGGCAGTTAGGCAATATTTTAAGGAAATCTAATACAGCTTTATTTATTTTGTTACATGTGCATCGCCGATTTTAGCCTACACCAGACTGTTGGCTTTAAATTAAAATTTTTAACGATCTTATTTTAACATAACCCATTCGTTAAAGAAAAGTGTGCAATAAAATTTTTATTTTTATTAAATTTATCAATAAAGTTCAATACAATTTTAGAAATTCTGTTTTGTACGGTTTTTATTTAATGGATTTTTATTGTAAATTTAACTCGGTAAATATTTTTTAAAAAATCTTTTAAATAAACTTCTCCTTGTTTTCTTTTTTAAACGACATTCAATGTGCATATATATTGGTGTATATATATATATATATATATATATATATATATATATATATATATATATATATATATATATATATATATATATATATATATATATATATATATTTGTGTGTGTGCGTGTTTGAGGGAGAGTTTAATTGCACAACTAAAAAGATAGACCTAAAAGTTAAAAAAATTAACCTGATTGAGTCAGCATTGTCATACTTGTTCGTGTCATCTTCATCTAAGTTATGTTTTCGCATGCAAAGGTGCTTGAGACCTTAATCAAAGATCCCAAAAGTTTAACAGAGTTGCATAATGCTATATAAATAATAAACCTCTATAGAACAAGCTTCTCTACAATTTTTAAAGATTTCAATGATGGAAAAATTAATCTTGTAAAACAACGAACTTAGTTTTGGAGAAAAAAAAAACTTCTGAGTAAAGCTTGCTGTAACAAGATCGTTGGATCTTCTTGGAGCAAACAAGAAAAAAGGTATGGAAATAAGGTTGTAAATAGTTTTAAAGAACCTGTTTATAGTGCACGTGTTTACTAGAGTATTAATGACTCTTAAGAAAATCTCTATCTCGATACAAGTTTATACGATGTATCCATATATACACACGCACACAAACAATCAAAATTATCGATATATATCCGTTTCATAAAGGTAATGGTTTTGTAAGCCACTTTCAAATAAAAAAACAGCCACTTTCAAAAACGGAATATGATAGTATATATCCAAGTGATCTCATCCCGCCTCGTATGTATGGTCTAATTAAAGCTCACAAACCTGAAAAATCCTATCCTATGAGAATAGTTATATCAACTATTGGCATTCCTAATTATGGAATATCGAACTACTTAGCAAAGAAAATACAACCTGTCTTAAATAAAAACCAAACACGTCTGAAAAGTACTTTTGATTTTATAAGTATAGCAAATTCATGGGAAATTGATAAAAACGAGGTTCTAGTTTCATTTGATATAATAAACTGGTATCCATCAATACTACTAGAGAAAGCTACTTTAATTCCAATTAAGCCAATTTAAAGGATAACTTGTACAAGTATTCTACCAAGCTTACTATATCTGAAACAAGACAACTCATAGAGCTTTATTTACACCTTTGTTATTTCCTGTAGAACAACGAAATCCAAGAACTTGAGAATTCTGGTCCTTCATTCATCTTTCATTCATTGTGGTACTTGCAAAATCATTTTTACAACATCATTAACAAAACGCTATCAAATTTGCAATGGCAGTAAACCCTCCTCTTGACCTTAAATCTTATCTTAGATATGTCGACGATAGTCACGCAATAATTAAAGGTTACGTTCACAGGGCTTATTCTGTATGGAGTAGTTTACATTTACAAAATAAGAATAATTTCTTTATTTAAATGTTTAAATGGTCCCTAAAAATCAACAAAACTCAATTAGAGTCTCTTAACCTCCCAACTACTGTAACGTTACTGTGGATACCATCACTGTTCCCGAAACTAAGGAAAATATTTCGGAAAGCTGGCTATGGGGTCATCCATAAGGAACGTCACTTTGAGTTTAACTAAGGGCAAGAAGTAGGAGAATATTGACACGCATGCGCAGAGACTTTAAAAGTAATATAGCGACTTATGTTCAATAAAAATCTCCGCGGAAGGGAGCCAATAAACTTCTACTTCTGGTTTAAATAAATTCTGAATGACGTTATATATGGACAACCCCTATAGAGTAGTCTTCAAATCAAATCCAAATTTAAGAACATTACTAGCGTCAAAAAACAAAACTAAATTGCCACATAATAGTCAACCCGGAACTTATTAGATTGAATGCAAATGCTCAAAGAGATACCTAGGCAAAACTAAACTTCAAATTCAGACTCGAACTCAACAACATCTAAAAAGTTTAAACAAGGGGAAACATTATCAGTCTGCAATGGCCACCCATAAAAAGTTTTGCTCACAAGAAATAAAGTGGGAAAACGTAAAAACAATTAAATTTGAAACAAAAAAATTTGATCGAAAAGTGTGCGAAGCTCTTTAAAAACAGAATTTCCAATGTTCACCTTTACATGGCGGAATTAATTTAGATAAGGGTCAGTTTGTGAAAACTAAATTTTGGACTCTGTTTTTTACATTTTTACGTAAACAAGTAAGAAGCCATTCAACTGCAGACGGCAGTTAATTCTAACGTTACAAAGAAAAAAATTATAATTTTTACGAGCAGATAATGCTGGTAACCATAATCCAGCGAAAATTTCTAATAATAAATTATTAATTGTATTAAGAGAATTCGTATTAATTGATATTTTCATACTAATATATATACATATATATAGGTTTATATTTACAAAAATGTTCTGACGACATTTCTAGTAGCTTGTAAAAGATGCAGTAAACTTATCAGATGTGGCTGCAAACTACAGAAATGTTTTAGATTTCTTTGTAAATGTGCACAATAAGAAAAAAAATACTACATTATGCTCACTTTGTAAATCTGGTGTCAATTGTAAACGTGGCTTTTTTACAGCTTTTGCAAACTTTCAGAGGGTAATGTTGTGTTTTTCAGCTGTCTAGTCAAAATGAATAGAAAATTTATTCTTTTTATCATAAAAGCATCCACTGTTATGTGTATAATTAGTAAACAAAAATATATATTATTGATAGAATTCAAAACAGAAATTTAGCATATTTACCCGCTGATTTTCAAGTTTTTAAAACTTTTCCACTTGTCGGTAATCTATTTTTAACGACAACAACAACAACAACAACAACAACAACAACAACAACAACAACAACAACAGCAACAACAACAACAACAACAAAAATAACAACAACAACAACAAGATTTTTATTTTCCTCAAAATTTACAATCATCTAATTACAATAATATATTAATAATAATATGAATGATAATAATAATTAGAATAAGAATATCTATAATATTATAAATAATAAAATCAAAATATCATTATTAAGAATAAATATATATGATTGACAAGGAACGAGTCACTCATGCAGAAACCTGATCAAAGGACACCAAATAATTATCAATATTAATTTAAATCATTATAATAAAAATAGCAGTAATAAAAAAAAATAAGTAATAATGACATAAACAATAAAGTTTCTATAGAAATAGTAAGAAGAAAAAGTAAAAAAAAAAACTAAAAGATGTTAATTATGATAAAAATATTAAAACAAAAATTTTTTTTTAGAATTTGTTTAAATTTATTTTGTTTTAAATAAAGAAATGAAGATAAATTATTTTTAAGTTTTATTTTTTCAAACTTATTCACAATGCACACAAGACTTCGATTTCATTCACTGATGCACTGATGTGTAATTGAATACTAACCATTCCTCAAAGTTTTATAGGAAGGTACATTTAGTTTTCCATTATGTTTCTAGTTAAATTTGAATGTATAAATCGAATTTCAGTAAAGAAGGTTGTAATAGAGGAAGGTAAATTTTTAATAAGGGAGTTAAAAACAAAAGAAGATTAGCAAATCTAACTAGTGCTGAATTAGTAGGAATTTTAAGTTTTTTAAAGAAGCTTGAAGTTTCTGTATTATGAAGTTGAAAATTTATTATTTAGATTGATTGGCGCTGAGCTGATAATAGTTTATTAATATTACAGTTGCCAATTTGTCCCCAAACCTGAAAACAGTAGTTGAGATGATACTGAAATGTTGCAAAATACAGATTCTTAAGGCTAGTTTTATCAACATAATGGCGAATTATTGAAAGCATGCCATTTAAGTTTTTTTACGGAGTGATTAAGTTTGATTAAGTTTTTTACAGAATGCATCTATATGAAAATTCCATGAGAGGTTTGAATCTATAAAAATACCAAGATATTTAACAACGTGTGTTGGATATAAACGTCTATTATTAATTTTAATTTTAGTTATATGATGATATAAAATTTAATTGATTAAATTTTATATCATCATATAATTTAGATGATTTAATTTTATGATATATGCTGTATAAAAGTTTTTGTCTCGGAGATGAAAAAAATATTAATTCAGTTTTTTCCAAGTTCAGAGAAATTAACACCACAAACTATATTTTTGTTATTTGATTTGTAACCACCAATGCTAACAAACTGCTTCCGATTTGAAAAAAAAGATTGAAACCAGTTACAAGCAACTTCTCGGATTCCGTAATGTTCAAGTATAGAAATTAAAATGGTATGATTAACTTGTGTATAGTTGTGTGTGATTAACTAAATGGTATGATTGCGTGTAATTAACTAAATGATTGTGTGTCATTAACTAAATGTATGATTAACTTGTGTATGATTGTGTGTGATTAACTAAATGGTATGATTAACTAGAAATTGATTGTGTGTGATTAACTAAATGGTATGAATGGTATGATTAACTAGAAAATGATTGTGTGTGATTAACTAAATGGTATGATTAACTAAAAATTAAAATGGTATGATTAACATTAAAATGGTAGTATCAAACGCTTTTTGTAAACTGATAAAAAACACCACCAAAAAAATGACCAGTATCTAGCGCCTTTTTTATTTTTTTGGTTATACTTATTAAAACATGGCAAGTAGAGTGTTTTGATCGAAATCCAAACTGAAATTCATTTAGACAGTTAATGGAATTCAAAAATGAGTATAATCTAGAGTACATTAGTTTTTCAAGGAGCTTGCTAATGTTAGAAAGAATTGATATTGGTCTATTGTTAGTACATGAGAGTTTGAGCCATTTTTATATACTGGGAATGACATGATAATTTCAAAATGTCAGGAAAAATTCCATTTAAGAAGGAGATATTAAATAGCTTAGAGAGAATATGAAAAAAAATTCAGAATTAAAATCAATAAGAATGTTTGTGGGGATGCTGTTAGGACCTATAGATTTTCAAGGTTTTAATTTAGAAGATATAAGTGGTGAGATTTCAGAATGGTCTGTTGATATCAG